TGAGCCGTCATCAAAGCGTTGATTTTGTTTTCAAGCTCTTTCATTTTCTCTTTATCGTCTATGTCTTCGTTCGAAGGACGTTGAGGAGAATGAGTTAGACCACCCCCTGTGAGAGGTGCTATTGAATCACCCCAAATCTCGTTATTGGGAGGATTCGTTAGACTACCCCCATCGTTATTGCTATTGGGAGGTGTATCAGCCACAATGACTTCATCCACTTCTGGATCACTGTCATCTGTAACATTCTGAATGTGGCGGCTGGATTCAGCTCTTTGACTGGACTCAGGGGGTTGAGGCCGTTGAGTTAGCAATTCTCTCATTTGTTGGATAGCTAACTCCATTTCTGTCTTCACTTCAGCTCTAATTTCTTCACGTTGTTTGGCTAGAGCTTCCTGAAGTATTTGAGTGAACTGATCAGCAGTGATTGTGAATACTTCTCTGATTTGTCCTGTGCTAGACATTGTATCATCAGAAGCGATTGCAGAATAAGTGTCCGAGAATTCATCCTCCGAGGACATTCCTTCTTGCATTCTCTTGTAGTCTCTGCGTCTGATAGCTCCTAATTGGAGTCGAGACATCCTTTGAGCAATTCTTGGATTGACTTTTCCTTTCGGGGAAAAGTCGGGATTTGAGTCACTTGAATGCTGTTTAGACTTTCTTCTATCAGCTACGTTGATGGTGACTTCAGGGAATTCATCATTTTGGACAGCTGCTCTTCTTTTGCGGAAATGTCTCGGCTTAGGTTTCGATAATACAGAGACTTTTCGTGGGATGACTTCTCGTTTGAAACAGTCACATTCTGATAATGCTGTTTTAACGAGTCGCGCACAGGAACAACGAGAGTTTATCTCTCGAATAACTCTCTTTCGAAAATTATTCACAACTTCAACTTGATAATACGATTCATCGGTATGATTGCCAAAAAATCGTATTGTCTGTTGGCATGACCTCCCAGGTATGACGATATCACTTGGTGAATGCGTCTTCTTCTGGGGGTGTAAAACCTTGTTGGCATTCTCAGGATAATTTATTTTTGTCTTTGAGCGATCCAAGGTTATGTCAGGAGTCGCACGTTTAAAATCACCCCCTTGCGGGTATGGAGTCTTAACGGGCCCCGAATGCTGATTTTGCATAAGTCCAGACTTTGGAATCCAAACTTGGCAGAGTTTCGGTGGTTCTTTGGTCACCGTTTCCTTCCTCCTTTCTCGTCTTTGTTGTAGGAGAGCTCGGGCATGAGCAGTGTTTGCACGATGTTTTTGTATACGTTATTTGAGGGTCGAACGAGTCCTTTTGACAATAGTCCATTCCTTCGTCGTGAGTTTAGCAGAGACATGAATGATTGGTCGTTGAGACAACTGAACCACTCGATGCCTCCTCGACTCTAAGTCCGCATGATAACGAACTCCGTCGGTTTGTTCTAAGGCCTTAGCTATTTGACGAGCGCGGCGTTGGCGTTGTCTCTGACGAGCTCTTTTCGTCAATACCGGTGGGCTTTGATTTAATGACTCTTTAACTAGATAAGAGTCATTGTGAGCAGAGGTGTTGCGAGTAAAACCCTCAGCAACAATCAGGCGAGAGTCTTCATTTTGTGCCTTCTTTGGCATGTAAGTTTTCCTTAATTGTGAGATCCTCTTGTACTTGCGAGACAATGAAGATCTTGAAGAGGATGATGAAAGATATTCCTCAAACTTGGTTTGGTCGAATTCGTATTCAACCATGGACTCAACCAGTATCTTGATCGGCTGCGACACGACGGGCTCGGCAGCAAGACCGTTGGCTCCCACTGTGGTCGCCAGCTTGTTTGCGTCAAAAGTTGACTTTGTCATGGAATTCATTATATCTTCGGTCGATTACAACAAATTCAAAAAAATAGTCTTTTTTATAAGACTTCTTTTACACAACAAAATAAAAATTACAACTCTTGAGAAACAAACGCAGGATCGTTGTTTGGATCGCTGCTTGCGTTGGATCTTTGCATGTGCCGGGAGCGCTTTGACTCGTGGACCACCAAATCACAGATTCTGATTGAATCGATGAGGGGTTTAATGATTCTTCATTCGTTTATCGAAGTAAGAATTTGAAGCGAATATCTTATCGATGTAAGATATTCACTCTTCTAAAGATCAAGTCAGAGCTTAGATCTCTAGGAATCGCCATAAACTTCTTGAGGATGTTTGTGAAGAAGGAAGACTCTCTTTCTTGCTCTAATTCACCAAAACTCAAGGCTCTCTGCTCTAATCTACTCTGGAAATGCTCAGCCCTCTTTTATTTCGTGTATAGGGAGGTATTTATAGGGGTGGCGCGGCAGTCGACACTGCCGCGGCTAAAGGGGCAGTTACACCCACGTTCATACGTGTTTGAAACTGTTCCCCCATGACTTTTAACCACCTTTTTTCATGGTTTAACTGCCTGTCCACGTCAGCACACGTTCTATCTCTAATATGCTGCCACGTGGGCTTTAATAATCATCAAATAACTGCATTGTAACTGCTGTAGCATCCCCTATAATGGCCGCGACACCATGAGTTGCCGCGCCTTGGCCGCGACACCATAGGCTGCCGCGTCTTAGCCGCGGCACCATGGGTTACCGCGCTTCAGCCGCGACACCATGTACTGCCGCGCCCACACGCTGTAGTTTGCATTGTTCTGTGAATTCACATTGTTTTGTGTTGATTCATAGATCATTTTGCTTCCTTTGGGCTTGTATGATCTCCCATGACTTAGATACTGATGTTTATCACCTTCTCTTTGTCTTGAGTGGTATTTGGATGTCTGTAAGCATTTTTTGACACCTACAATGTATTAGCCAGTTAAATATTGGTCAAACCTTATTTCTATGGTACAATAGATGATATTTTGAACAAGATGAATAATACGGACCATGAATTTGATGCCCCCATTAGTTCATCTCAGAATAAGGTTTCATCTCATCATTTCACCATATCATTACTTACACACACGCGCACGCATACATGCATATATACATACATACAAAAATAAATCAAATATAAATTTACAAATATGAATTTAAAGTTAATATAGTTTAGAAATAAAAAATAGAAAAATATTTAAAAAATCATGTGTCGACCACCGATTCATGGGCTGCGGGTCGGGCCCAGCTTGACCCCGCTCCTACGCTGGTCATGAATCAGACTAGGTCCTGTCCCAGACCTGGGATCAGAGAAGTAAGCAGGGCCGTACCTAGGAATTTTGGGGTCCAAGGCAAAATATTACATGAAACCTAAGTGATACAACTAATAATAGATTTTATCTCATTCTTCTAACCTTTTGAGCTGCAAAATTACTAATTAAAGTTTTATGTTCAATATTTTCTAACTTATTATTTTCGATAGATAATATTGCTAAACCATTCAATCTATCTTGTAACATAGTCGATCTTAAATAAGATTTTAGTAATTTTAATTTTGAAAAACTTCTTTCAGCGGAAGCAACTGTTACGAGTATAGTCAATAATACACGATAAGCAATACAAGTATTTAGAAAAGAATCTAACCATTTTATATAGTTCAACACTTCAATTGAGCTATTAATCTCTATTTTTAAAATTTCACTAAGCACTCTCAATATTGAAAACAAATCAAGTCCATTAATATCCGAATGTTCATCATGTTTTAGTGCATTTTCAAGATTAAGACAATATTCTTTCAATTCAATATCATCTAAAGCTTTTAATTTTTTCAAATCAAACAAAAAACCAAATTTTTTTTCATATGTTTTAAATTGTTCAAACCTACTTTCAATTGAGCCAAGCGATTTATCAACTATGTATAAGAAATATTCAATACGAAAAGATTCTTCAGGGTTGAATATTGTTTCATTACCAATATTTTCATCAAATTGTTTTTATCTATGAATTTTACGTTTTTCACGAAATATTTTCATTACCAATACTTTACGTTTTTTTCTATGAATTTTACTTTATCTAAATCTTTTGAGTAAACTAACCACCTTCTTTCATGTTTTTCTCCATTTGACAAATTTTTTATGTAATATGATGTAGAAAAGTGTCTATTACTTTCATCTTTAGGAAAATCTACTTCTTCTTATATAATTGGGCATTTTTCAACTATTAGATCTATAAAATTTTGATAAATACCTTTCCATTATATAGGATCATAAATATTGATAAGAATTGAATTTGACATCTCATTCATCTCTAATTTTTTTTCTTGGCCCTCATGTGAATTTTATTTATATTCTTCATTAAAATTAGGAGTACTAGCTTTTTCTTCTTGAATATTATTATCGTTAATATCATTAAGTACTAGCTTTTTCTTCTTGAATATTATTATCGTTAATATCATTATTTTGTCCTAAATTCTCAACATATTCTTCTAAATTATTATCGTTAATATCATTATTTTGTCCTAAATTCTCAACATATTCTTCTAATTCATTCTCAAGTAAGTAAAGAATCTAAAGATTCATCTATTCTTTCATCTTCTGTTGAAGTTGATGTAACATTATCTTTATTACTAAAAAACATTACACTAAGTTGTTAAAAGCGCATTATACTAAGTATAAAGTTTGAAGTTGTGGCGGGGTTGCAGATCAAGCGTTCTTTTCATGAGCCGAAAATCCAGAGTCTAATAATTAGATCTGTTTAAATCCGTTTTAAACATGTAGAAATGAGATTTTCGTCCTAATTGTGTTTTGATATCACGTCAGAAATCTACTTTTTTTATCATATTAATTCTATTTTTCATCGGCAAGGGGAAAAAATATAATAAATAAAAGGAAAACAAAGTTTCTATAGTAAATTAATAACAGAACTAGGACAGCTACAAACGGTTGCCATTAACAGGCCATTACGAGGACCCATGTGCACACGCTAGACAAAGCTTTTAACGTTTTATTAGCTCTCCTACTCCCAACCATCAGCCTTTAAACTCTCACCCACCCGAATGCTGTCATAAGACCCGACCCGACCCGACCCGACCCGTTTTCTTCTTAAAAATCAGCGACAATAAGTAGTAACCCATCTCCGCCTTCCCTTCATAACTCTCTCTCTCTCTCTCGATTTGTGACTTGGGTTTTGGAATTTTTTTTTGGGGGTTTTGAGATGAAGGTGACCGTTGTCTCTCGAAGCGGCCGAGAGGTGGTCAAGGGTGGGATCGAGCTCGAAGACTCGGTAGACTTCTCGGATCTGAAATGGGTTTGAGTTGTTTTGTGTTGATCTTGGGTTTGATCTGACGATTCTGTTATTTTTGTTTGATTTTGGCGGGGTTATGCAGGCTACTGTCAGCGATTTGCAGGAGGCGATTCACTCTCGTGGTAAGTGATTTATTTTTTGGTCTTTTGTGCGGTTGACAAATAGACATTAAGGTTCTGTTTAATGCAAATTAAAACCACTAGTTTGGTCCAAAAAACAAAGAAAATTTCTTCAAGACCCAAAAAATGGGACCAAAAGGGGACAGGTGAGTTATTCCCCTCCTATTGCATAATCAGCTGAAGATAGGAGGGGGACAGGTGAGTTATACCCCTCCTATTGCATAATCAGCTGATGATAGGAGAGGGATAGCTTATTATGCGATAGGAGGTGGACAACTCACTTATCGCCCGCTGGTCCCATATTTTCGGTCCTGTAGCAAAACTCAAAAACTCAAAAACAAATCTTGTTATAATATATGAGAAATTTTTCTTTTGTATGGGGGATAACAGCCAATATGATGTGGAATCACTGTGTGATTTTTTAATTTGTTTTTTACTTGGTATATGTATGACATTATTTCTAGGATGGTTATAATTCAGGGCAGGAGACGCTTCTTGATGAGTCCGCACAGCTGCAATTATACTTTAAATGGTTATCCTTGAAAGAGTTATATATAATTATCTCCAACTATATCAGCATATTATCATGCTCATTTTGTCCGCAATGGTTACTTGCTTCTTGATTTTCCTGTGTAATCGTCTTCCCGTTATTTTGTAAACTAATTGGATTGATCTTGAATATTATAAAATGTAATTTTGATAGTAATGACTAATGGGCGTATGTTCAGTTTTGGGGGGAAAAATTATAATAACCAGTTAAGCATCTTGAACTATATGTTTATTACCTTTTCTTGGTGTATTTCCTTCATAATTCGATAAGTAGACTTATTTCTTAGTTTTCACATGTTAAAAATTTTTAGGCTGAAGGAGGTTTGAGATTTGTTTCCAGCAGTTTCAGATTGGAATTTTATAATGAGGAAAGAGGATGTACAGTTGAATTAAGCCCCTATATAGTCTGCTACTCGAGTCATTTAGCTTGGATAATCAATATATAACAACTATTTCAAGGGTCTAGTTTTCTGGTCACCTTTTTCCTCCTTACCACTAAGTTTCTCTGTAAAAATTATATATACTAGGCTCCATTGCATAGATGACAGAATTTTACCACTTGTTACCCTAATTGGCAATCATTCTCATGGTATACCAAGAATGAAAATAAAACAACTAAAAGAACAAAGCCTTTATCCCAAATTTTTTGGGAAGATTGAGAAGATTAAAAAAAGAAAAGAAAAAGAAAACATAGAGCATTCATGCTTCATAGTGATAATGTCATGCCCCAGGCCACATGCCCGTTGGCGTGTGCAAGCTGTGGGACCCACCGAGAGTAACTCGATGTTGGCTAAATTCACTGCCAAAATGCTAGCACTAGTTACTCTTGGGCCTTGGGCTTTTCTCTATTTAAGCCACTAACATTTCTTCACACTAGTTTATGTGGGACTTAAGTGTGGGGGTGTCAAATAAAGTTTCTCGTGTATCTATCTACTGAGCTAAAATAAAAGAATAAATAGTTAAAACAGGTCAGATTCAGGAACTTGATCTACTTATTCAACCTGATTAAGTAAGCAGGCTGAGAGTTTGAGTAAACCTATCTGGTTATATGTAGCTGAGCCGGAGCTGAAATGAATGTTCGAATCATAACTTCGCATATTGCATGAAGATAAAGCTGCAGGCTTTCTTCCTAATGTTACCTGTTGTAAGTAAGTTTATTTGGATCTTTGCTTGCATGACTATCTGACTCAAACTACGAATCTTCAAAACCAATGTGGTTTCTGTCGAACTATTTGGGGGTTTTTAGGAAACAAATAAAGTATATTGTTTATCTTAAGAACGTTACTGGATTTTGATTTAACTAGTTGCAAAAAACATCTATGTTCTCGCTACTTCCTGACCTATTACTGACTAATAATGTAACATTTAAGTTATAGGAATTTTTTTTTTCTGCTGGCAACTTCTGGGACTACTTGTTCATGGTCCTACAGTAACTTAACTCGATACAAAATAACTCATCTTTTTACGTGTTACAGCCAAAAAATTCTATCCATCTAGACAGCGTCTCACCCTGCCTCTGCAACCTGGAACCAAGGGAAAACCTGTTGTCCTCTCTCCAAAGAAATCTCTCAAAGATTACTGTGATGGAAATACAAACACTCTGACTGTAGTATTCAAGGATTTAGGCGTGCAGGTCTATTACAGCACTCTATTCTTCTGGGAGTATCTCGGTCCTTTAATAATCTACCCCATCTTTTACCACTTTCCTGTGTACAAGTATTTCGGTTATGAAGAAGAGCGTGTCATTCATCCAGTTCAAACCTATGCCATGTATTACTGGTGCTTTCACTACTTCAAACGAATAATGGAGACATTCTTTGTTCATAGATTCAGCCATGCAACTTCCCCTCTCTCCAATGTCTTCAGAAACTGTGCTTATTATTGGAGTTTTGGGGCATATATCGCTTATTATGTAAACCACCCGCATTATACTCCTGTGAGTGATTTGCAGATGAAAATTGGATTTGGGTTTGGGTTGATCTGCCAAGTTTCGAACTTATACTGCCACCTGATTTTGAGAAATCTTAGAAGCCCAGATGGAAATGGTGGATATCAGATTCCTCGTGGGTTTTTGTTCAACATAGTGACATGTGCGAATTACACAACGGAGATCTATCAGTGGCTAGGGTTTAATATTGCAACACAAACAGTAGCTGGATATGTTTTCCTTGTTGTGGCTGCTTCAATTATGACTAATTGGGCTTTTGCTAAGCACCGGAGGTTGAAGAAGGTAAAGCACTAGTCCTCTTTTTCATTCCTTAACTATATGCAGCTTTATTTCATAGAGTATGCATCTTTAATGTAAGATTCTTAATCATGTCATTCCTTTTTGTTTATTATCCTCAAATTCTTTCCTTGCAGTTATTTGATGGAAAAGAAGGAAGACCTAGATATCCACGACGATGGGTGATACTTCCTCCTTTCATCTAAGGAGAGAAAGGACTCTGAGCTCGCAAAATCCCGTTTTCTTAGCAATCTGCATTAGATTAGAGTTCTTCGTACTGTATTACGTTGCATGTCAAAGGCACTCTTCTCAATTCCGTATTCTTGTTAAATCGATATCTTAATGATTCATGAACGTTCTCAAGATTGGTCGTCAAAAATGTTAATTTAACTCTGGTTTCAATTTCTTCAATTATCATAGTGCAGCTTCTTGTTCACTGATGTAATGAATGCCTTCTGATTACCTCTCAATAAATAGCTTGTGTGCAGCATTGGATGCTTGAAAGCAAGCAGAATCTGGAGGATGCTAAAGGGGGGAAAAATGCTTCCTTCTATATGAACTTTGTTCTAGTCCAGTCATCATAGGATCCTGGTAACTACGGTCCCTTTAGCTTTCTCTATACCTTCGTATTTAATGTTGGCTTTCTTTAGAGGAAACTAAGCCTAATGCAATGATGATGATAACCAATGCAGCCTCAATCTTTGGCCTCATGATTTAGTGGCAGTTTTTAATATGAAAACTGAATATATCTGCTGTCTAGATTGCACCAGTTCAGTCTCAGATCCAAGGATGGTTTATTTTTTTCTTTTCTTTTTCTTTTTATTTTCCTTTTCCCGGTGGGCAGGTCCAAAGATGATCTTGTTTACAGATAAAATAGCCCTGTGCTTAACTTTCATAATGAGCAGAAAAATTATATTTAATGTAGACATGCTTCAACTTATCCAAGAGTACGACTAACAGAGATACGGTTCACAAATCACAATCTATCTTTTTGTATCTTTTATGAGCTCGCACAGATTCTGGAAAACCAAAAGCAGCAGTTTTATACTCTTAAATTCTTATATGAACCCTATATTTATATATACACACCTTAGGAAAGCAAAAGAACATTATACATGTTCAGTTTATTATGGAATCTTATTTTTCTTTCTTTACCTAAAGATCTAAAGGAGTAACTAACCTATTCAAAAGGCTAAGATGCTACTATTTATTTTTGTGGGCAAAAAAACACATAAGACTTGTATGCTTCCTTTGTATTTACAGTGGTAATTATTCTTTGAAGTTCTTACTTCATGAAGATGATAGGATCGGCAAACTCAGTGAAAAGGGATGAGAGACAAAGAAACACAGAGAATAAAGAAAAAATAATTACTGTTGAGAAACAGGAACAGGCTTCATTACAAAGAGAACCTCATGCCCTCAAATGACAGAAAAGATCACACAAACAAGAAGATTTTTCCTTTTTTCTACAAATCAAATCTGGGTCCTGGGTGTCTCTACTAATTGTACCTCAAGGACCCAATTAACAGACAATCAAAAAAAAAAAAGCAATCCATCAATCAAGCCACTAATAAAAAGAAATAAAATGTACTTTTGTTTAGTTTATGTTAAAGTAATTAGAGACAACTTCTTCTCTAGCCTTCTTGCTTCTCTTCTCTTCATCAGCCTCTGCAACAAAATACAACTGCACATCCTTAATCTCAATGTCGAAGCGAGCTTTTCTCTTCTTGCATCTCTGAGGGAGAGATGGCCTCTTTGGCGCCAGAGGGCATACAGTAGCCTTTGGGATTCTATGCCTTGGAGAAGTTGGCGTATGGTAGCCATCATCACCATCATCATCACAAGCATCAAGTACTCTTTCTTCTTTCAATCCTGGTTGCTGATGATCCTCGATCTTCTTTGGCGAAACAATTCTATGCTGAGACAAAGAAGAGGAAGATGGGGTCTCTTCTTGCTGTTGTCTATGTTCTTTGAGTGGCAGTGGCTTTAGAGGAGAGGCTATTTGGATTGAGTTGGACATTCTCATTAAGTTCATAGAGAGAGAGAGAGAGAGAGAGAGAGAGAGGAGAATGAGAGATAAAAGAGTTTTACAGAAGAGAATGGAGAAAACAGAGGAAGAGACAAGAGAAGGAGAATATGAAGAATAGGAGGAGGGATGGCATCAGAAGC